CTATTTAAAATTTATTTTCTTATGAATTTAGCTCTAACTATCATAGTATCTGCGTAAACAGTAACGGTATTAAAAAGTTAACGGTCAGGATTTATTTTGTTATAATTTTAAAAGTTTAGGGTTTATTTTTTATATTTTAAAAGTTCAAGATTTAATACGATTTTCAAGTAATAATTTAAGGTTTTATTTGCTCATTAATCCTAAAAATTATGGCATAATTTTCCTGTGTGTATGACAATGCGGGCATGTATCTCTATTCTCAATTTCATGTGTAATTTCTTATAGAGGGACAAATAATGTGCACAATTTAATTAAAATTATATTATACATTATAGATTAAATAATTAATCATATGAATTTTCAGTTTTAATTCATGTATATTTAACTACATATATAATTTTATTGTTCAAAATATCAAACTCTATATTATTTTTTATTTTTACTGTTTAATATATCAAATTTTATGTCATTAAAATTTTTATTGTGTATATTTTCTAAATAGTTCAAATATTGTATTTGAATGATAAAAATAACAAATAAAAAAATCAATGTTTTTAGTATTTATAAATTTAAAAATATTTTTAATTTTATAATCCCTCTATTAAGAAATATAAGACATTTTTGAAAAGTTAGATGTTTAAAATTGTAAAGTATTTTTAATATTTTGATGTGTAATCATTATTTTTTTCAAAAATATCCCTATTGATAAATAACTTTATATTTACTATAAGATATTTAAAAAAATAAATATAAAAAGATAAGATTAGTTTGAAAGACTACTTTGTTGAAAAGTAAAATTTAATTAAAAATAATTTATATTTTTAAATAAAAAAAATATAATTTAAATAATTTTTAATTTCAAGTTGCCGCTACTTACCCTCTTTCTTCTTTAATCTTTCCTACATCTGTTTTATTTTTTGTGGAGGGGGGGAATTGGGGAGAATGATGTTAAATTCTAAAAAAAAATTAATGACAGCTGAATTTAAAAAATTAAAAAAAATTTAAATATCAAATTAAATAATTATAAATAAAATTTTTATTACAGTCTAAAAGTTATATTTGATATTTAAATATCTATTTTTAATTTATTTTTTAAAAAAATTTGTCAAGACTTAATTGTCATAGTTTAAAATTATGGGATCTCACTGTAATTTTCTCAAAACAAAAATGCCATTAGTTACATTATTTCAAAAGCAGGAGGGAAAGAACAAAGAAAAAAAATACACTATTTCAAAAGCGAAACATCTACATTTCTCAAGAACATGTCTGTGTGTATGTGAACTCACACGAAGATTCTGGAAGTTAATATTACACTTTGCAAGTATCCGCCAGTCTCCACACTCGTCTGCACTGTCATCGTCAATTGCCAGCCCCTTACTTTTCTTAAAATTAGTACTTTCACGAAGAGATATTTGATTTCAAACAAATAAAATCAACAATACGCACAAAAAATTGAGGTGAATTATATTATCTATTTCTTCATATCCGTGTATGGAATCAGAATGTATTGCATTCTTTTAAGTTAAAAAGAAAACTAGTGTCACCTTGATTGTCATTAATCGTGGCAAAATTTAAATGTGTAGTACTGCACAAGCAACTTGATACAGTATTTCACAGTTGATAATTTTGAAGTCTCTTTCGAGAAATAAATATTTTAATGCAACCCTTTAATAATAACATGATAAGAGTGCAATTTAATAAAAAAAAATAAGACATTTATTCAGAATTTTCATAAATTTTCATATAGGTCAGTTAATAAAAAAGTGGTATTATTTGTAAGAGAATAACTGAAACTTGGATGAGTTAAATCCCCTGGACACATGATTTTTCTAGATTAACAATTATAATACATTTCATAAAAATTATAATGGAATTTGTTTTTGGTTCCTGAAAGTTCTCCAAATGATACGGTGAGATGCGATAATTCCAAAAGTCTGCGACGCCAGGAAGATATTTTGTATCAAGAACTCTTTATCATACACGTGTCACTAGACTGCACAATTATTAATGTGGGGCCCGCGAGGGCACGTGCGTGCGATCGTGTAAGAGCTTGGTTGGGTCATTCTTGGAATAACGGATCCCTCTTCGCCACTTGTACCACCCAATTTTTTTTGGGCTGACTTTTGAATCTTCACGGCAAAAATATGTGCGCGAATATACTGTATAAATCAACAAATTTAAAAATTAACATCATTAAGATGTTATAAATATTGTTAGGGCAAATTTGATTTGCCAGATTTAATTGAAGGTAACTCTTCTTGTCTTGTATTCAGTAACTGTAAATCATTGTCACTATAACTGTATTAGTTGGTGATTTGTCAGCTATTTTATTATGTTTAGGCAAAAAAAAAATATTTTATTATATTGTAAAATTTATATTTTTATTGTTGTATTTTGCATGTAGTTCTGTTTTGAACCATTTTAATTTAGTTTTTATTCATAAGTTATAGCATACGAAAGTTTCTTGCAACTAAAAAATTACTTCCTGAAATTGATTTTTTTTTTTAATGTATTGTTACATCCTAGATTTCTCACTGTTTATCAAAATGACTTGAACCACCAGTAACTTAAAAATTTAATATAAATTCAACAAAGTTTTAATGTCGTGAACTTCTCTTTTCTGTGTTCCTTATTTTTTTTAGAAGTTTTTATTGGGGCAGTGGGAGAACAACAATTAAAATAGATAAAAGTGGTATTTGGCAAAAGTAGAAAGATTGGACGAGTTGCATAGTTATATCATATTAACAAAGATCCAAACTGTTGGCAGCGGGAAAGATAAGGAGCAACATTTGTCTGTGTCAGCAAGTGCTGGCTAAGAAGTTGTCCACATACATTGTGCATCTTGTAAAGATTTTGTTTCATTCCTCTTTGACAGGTTTTGAAGGAAAATAGATGAGAAAAATATTTTTAAGAATTATAGCAAGCACGGATTTACAAAGAAAGGCAGTTATTATGAGAACAATTATTGTGCATTTTTTAACAAGTTCACCCTCCATTCTCATCACAATTGCATAAGTTCATAACTTGAGTTTATATATAGTATGAAAATTCAAGTTAAACCATGCAATTGAACTAGTATTTTACTCGACTTAATAAAATATTTTATTTATAACTAATTTAATCATCATTCAACTATAATTTTAATTACTTAGTCTTAAATTAATGTTTTAATTAATTCAATAATCGATTCAAATTTTATCACGAGCTTCATGCTACAAGGTGCAATCTAAACAATGATTATTACAAGCAGATTTACATTACTGATAACTAATTCCACAGAGTTACTTATCATAGTTTGTGAACAAATACAACCATTGAAATCAAATTAAGGTAATGTGTCTAGCTTTTCTGTGAATTATTAAAATACAATGGGCAGGTTGAATCTCGTTTGAGTCCCAAAAGATTGCATCTGACATCCTCATATCCAATCAATTGGATCGGGTTCATGAATCATGCACGAGGTTGAAAGAAAATCTTATCCTCAATTTTATCACTGACGGATAAAACGACATGCACACATCGTTGGTCCCCAATAATTGCAGTGAATAATGATATTAAATCCAACGAACATGCTAATATAGTAATAAAATATTGGTGAAATCATTGAACGCCCGTAAAATTGGGATCCATCTATCTTAAACTCTTTACGCAACGGCGTGCTCATTGGCCAATTGGACCCTGCCATGCCATGCCATTCCACAGATCTCTCAACTTGTTCTGCTAAGCAAACAGCGAATAAAATAAGTGGAAATTGCAAGCTTCGTGAGGCCCACTCCTTGTACACGTGTCATGCCACCTAGGCAATGATTCAGCACTCCAGTTATTATTGACGAGCATTTTAAGAAATTATATTGCGTGGTCAAATTGAATTAGTTTATAAATGCGTAGGGTATTTTATTTATTTTCTATTTTAAAACACTTCACAAATTGTTCTCGCTATTATCACCATGAAGAGCCAATGAGCCATGAACATACAGCTTCCAGCTTTCACCTGTTTTAAACTTTGTATGCTGCATGAAACTCACCTGCTTGGTTTATTTCATAGGATAAAAAATATTATGGTTTTACTACAAAAAAAAAAAAGAACTTCTGAACTGTCATCCATTTGACAATGACAAGGATATTTTAAGGCAATGCTTGACAAGTGATATTTAAAAGGAATAACGAAAGAAGCTGTAGAGTTTAGGGAAAATCATTGTCAAGTCCCATACAAGCATTCTATCCAATCTCCATTTCATTAAAAATCTGTCTTCAACACCAATAAGAGCCTTAATTTTTCTTATGGGCGGCATCATTACTTGCCGACAAGTTTGAACTTTTGTGTATCTAGACTATTAGTCACAAGCAATAAAATTGGATCAATCTCGATATAAAACACTGGACTGTTATTTTAATCATGCTTTTTTTTTTTGGTTAAAAAGATAACAATTGTATCGATTACCTTGTTTATCAAGTACATGAAAAACAATCTAGACATTAACAATTTGAATAGCTTTAATTTGTCTCTAAATGCAGATACCTTCTATCTAATGATCTTGTCTAATTCTATTTAACGCATGACACTTTGTCGTGGTCATAAAATTAAAAAAAACGTTTTTTATAAACAAAAAGAGAAACTCAACAAGCAAGAAAAAAGAAAATGACGTGATGACATGGAAATATCAGCGCGGTGGTTGTATGAAAGTGTCAGACGCTTTCAACGTGAAGAAACGGATAGACGTATGAGTGTGATTACGTGGATACAAATCAGCACGACTACTTTACACTTTTAATTATTATTTTTAACTTAAAGACAGTGCAACATTGTTCACATGATTTTTTTTACGCCCGACGGAACTGTAAACGTGTCCGCTCTGCGAAAATTTCTCACCGCCGAAGGTCCGTGAAAATTCGACAAAGTAAATTGCAACAAGCAAGTGGGTTCCACGTGGTAACGTAATCCGCCTTAAAAAGAAACAACTTGCCTGCCCGATGATGATCTAAGACCGTTGGATCGCACGGATGTTGGAAACACGCGATGCTCGGAACTTATTGCCACTTAACAGGGACTAGAAGCATAAGAAAGTTGCGAGGCTTGTTCACGATGATCCATTCGCGCCTTGCATCATCGCCTCTTAGTATAAATACCCGACCAGTAATTCTTTCGCCATCAACATTTGCTACAAGGTTTCACTACTCTTCCCGAATTACAGAAGCACCATTGCAGCTCTCAGTTTCTGGTACTATTCTATTTGCCTTTTGTCTTTGAAGTTGAACTCGTTTGGTTTCAGGGAAAAGCAGGGGCTGTTTTGTTTTGATGGTTGTTTGCTGACGGATATTGTTTTTTCTGATGCATGTTTTGGAAATTGCCAGCATTTCCGCAGTCGTATTTTACCGGCGATAGCTTTTCAGGTGAATATTTGATGGATTTTTTTATCTGCTTTTCTTAAATGTGATTTAAGAAATCTGGAACTGAAAGTTTTACGCGAATCTAATCGTAGCAAGTACTCTTAATTGCAGCAGGGCACGAAATCGTACCAAGAGTTAAGAGATTCAAGCTCCACAAGAAAGAAAGGGAAAGAGGATTCAGACTCAGAAAAAATGACGATCAAACCTGCAGTTCGACTTTCCGATAGGAACCTGATTGTGAAGGACCGTACAATTCTGACCGACGTGCCGGATATTGTGATCGAGACGTCGGCGTCGTCGTCGGGGCCGGTGGAGGGGATATTTTTAGGCGCGGCTTTCGATAAAGACGACAGCAGCCATGTCGTGTCGCTGGGAAAACTCAGGGACGTTCGTTTCCTTGCGTGTTTCAGGTTCAAGCTATGGTGGATGGCCCAGAAGATGGGAGATAAAGGAAGGGATATTCCTCTTGAGACTCAGTTCCTATTGGTGGAAACCAAAGATGGGTCCCACCTTGAATCTGACGACGGAAACGAGGACAACCAGATCGTCTACACCGTCTTCCTCCCTCTGATCGAAGGCTCATTCAGAGCTTGCTTACAAGGCAACGCAGATGATCAGCTAGAGCTCTGTTTGGAAAGCGGCGACAGCGAAACTAAAACGTCGTCGTTCACCCATTCCCTCTTCATCAGTGCTGGAACTGACCCGTTTGGAATAATCCACGACGCATTCAAAGCCGCCAAGAACCACCTGAAAACTTTCCGTCTCCGGCACGAGAAGAAACTCCCCGGAATCGTCGACTACTTCGGCTGGTGTACCTGGGACGCGTTTTACCAGGAAGTAACCCAAGAAGGCGTAGAGTCCGGCCTCGAGACTCTCGCATCCGGCGGCACCCCTCCGAAGTTTGTGATCATCGACGACGGCTGGCAATCCGTCGGCGGCGATCCGGAAGACGAAAACAATTCAGTGAAGCGATTAACGGGAATCAAAGAGAACTCCAAATTTCAGAACAAGGAAGATCCAACACTGGGAATAAAGAACATAGTGAACATTGCCAAACAAAAACATGGATTACAATACGTGTATGTTTGGCACGCAATTACAGGATACTGGGGAGGGGTACGACCGGGAGTGAAGGAGATGGAGGAATATGGATCGGAGATGAAGTACCCAAAGGTGTCGAAGGGGGTGGTAGAGAACGAGCCGACGTGGACGACGGACGCGATGGCGGTGAATGGTTTGGGACTGGTGAACCCGAAGAAGGTGTACAAGTTCTACGACGAGCTTCACAGTTATCTGGCGCGTGCGGGTGTAGATGGGGTGAAGGTGGACGTGCAGTGCATCTTGGAGACGCTGGGCGGTGGATTAGGTGGAAGAGTCGAGCTCACAAGGCAATACCATCAAGCCCTTGATGCCTCCATAGCCAGGAATTTTCCAGATAACGGTTGCATCGCCTGCATGAGCCACAATACTGACGCACTCTACTGGTAAGTCCAAAACTAAATCCCATCTTCCTATCTGTTTTTGAAAGTTCTAACTCGTTTCTTTCAGTGTGGAGGAAACTTACAAATTTTTCCTTTTTGTGTCTGGTATTAGAAATGATTTGATTTGATATAAAATATAAATAAAGTAAATTTCCGTTTATAGCTTAGCGACTTATTATTAAACAGTCTAAGAAGTAAGAAGTTATTTCGTCAAGGAAAAATTATATGCTTCAATTACGAGTCTGAAATTATTTTTATCTGATGTGGTGTGGTGTATGGGATTTATGGAACAGCTCAAAACAGACGGCGGTGGTGAGAGCGTCGGACGATTTCTACCCGCGTGATCCGGTGTCGCACACGATCCACATCGCCGCCGTGGCCTACAACAGCATCTTCCTCGGAGAGATAATGCAGCCGGACTGGGACATGTTTCACTCTCTTCATCCTGCCGCCGAGTACCACGCCTCCGCCAGGGCCATCAGCGGCGGTCCCACCTACGTCAGCGATGCGCCGGGGAAGCACAACTTCCAGCTCCTGAGGAAGCTCGTCTTGCCGGACGGGTCGGTGCTCCGAGCACGTTTGCCCGGAAGACCCACCAAAGATTGCCTGTTCTCTGACCCGACCCGAGATGGCGTGAGCTTGTTGAAGATATGGAACATGAACAAGTATAATGGGGTTATTGGCGTCTACAATTGCCAAGGAGCGGCGTGGAGTAGCCTAGAGAGGAAGAACGCTTTTCACGAAACCAAATCTGAAGCCATCACGGGGTACATCAGAGGCCGTGATGTCCACCTCATTTCCGAGGTGGCCGCCGGCGTTGACGGTGAGTGGAACGGCGATTGTGCCGTCTATTGTCACCGCTCCGGCGAGCTTGTGGTTCTCCCGTACAATGTGGCGATGCCGGTGTCCCTTAAAGTGCTGGAGCACGATGTTTTCACGGTGACCCCCGTGAAGGTCCTGGGTTCCGGACTGAGTTTTGCTCCGGTTGGCCTCATCGAGATGTACAATGCAGGTGGCGCGGTTGAAGGGCTCGTGTACGAGGCCAAAGGTGGAAAAGAAAAAAACAAGAGCGATGAATTGATAACGGGTTTGGCTCGTATGGAGGTAAAGGGGTGTGGGAAATTTGGTGCTTATTCATCAGCCAAACCTAGAAGATGCTTGGTGGGTTCTAATGTGGTAGATTTTGATTATAACTCAGATTCTGGGTTAATGACATTGAATTTAGATCGTATGCCAGAGGAGGGACAGAAATTTCACGTCGTTGAGGTTGAGCTATGAGATCACTGATGTTATTAGGTTACATTAGAGATGATAATAATGTTGGGAAAATTGGTATTGTTAGGCAGATTTACTTCTCTTCACCTTCCTTTACAATTTTCTGCCCCATTACAGCGTGCAGTGCTTTGGAAGGGAAGAAAAATAACTTGTTGGCGGGCTTAATGAATGAGATGATGTTGTAACCATTGCATGGTATATTGCGCGCTAGTGAGCGAATATGTGTGTGTGTGTGTCTGCGATTTGCACTTGAAAATATTACGTTACCTAATCTTAAACCCCACTAGTTGGATTCTTTTTTTTTTTTTTTTTAAATAATAATAGTAGATTACAAAGGAAAGAAAAGGCACAAACCCGAAGGATGAAGCCCAAATTTCTGATCTTTCTGTTGAAGATGACGTTACAATTTACAAATACTAATAATAATTAAACCAACAAAATGTTGTGCAGTGGATGAAAATGAAATGCTTGAATCATCATAGTATATTTCATAGCCATTTTCTATTCGTCGGATCAACTTGTAGATATTTACAGATTTTACAGCCAATCCCTGTTCAATATAGGAGATTTTGAAAATCTGTCGACTAATAAACATGAGCCCTTGAAATCAAGATTCGGATACTCGCCTGTCATCCTGACTAAAGTCACCATCGTCCTGATGTTCTAGAAGCAGCTGTTCCAGCACCTGACCATATCCTTCATCATTCACCAATCCCGTTTGTTTATAGAAGCTTTCTTTCTGGGTAAGCCAATCGCCAGCAATCTTTTCTACAGCATCTCCAAGAAGTTCCTTATTTTCTGATATGTGTTGTATGTTCTGGACATCTATATCATTGCTTGCTTCTTGAAATAAAAAACAATGCAATCCATATGCAAATTAGGTTATTGAAAACATCTCGTGTACAATACAGGATAGAAGATATAATGTCTCAAACTAGACAAACTGCAATCCTCTCTCTCTCTCTCTCTCTCTCTCTCTCTCTCACACACACACACACACACACAAACACAAAGGTAAAATAGACTAATACAAACTCTAAAAATATAAGGACACAACCATACTGCATCAGTATCTCAGTTATCTTATTAAACTGAAGATCATAAAGTAAATGCAGTGAATCTGATTTTCAGAATCTTGAATTCTGATTGTATGAATTAGTCATGACTCATTCTTGGAAATTTTAGATGCTTTTGGAATTTGCATTCCGTCAATTGAGAGGGCATAACATGGTGGTTCATCCGTGTATAAGTCAAATTCCAATTCGATCTTCACTAAAATCAAGTCAAACATTGCATTCATCCTAAGTAAATTTCAACAGAAAATGACAGCACGTGATATAAAGTAGTTTCTAAGGGAATAGATAAAATCCTGACAAAAAGAGTACCTCCAAGATTGTCTGCATTGACACCTAGGCAAAAACAAACACCGGGGAGTATTGTAGGAAAAATTAAAGTACCTTTGATGGCTATGCTCTTTGCCTTGGCATATTCAGATGACATTTTCTTCAGTAAATTTAGGTCAATTTCTGCACCCTGGAATGAGGAAGGAAATATGGATATTAGATGCAAATCAATCTAAGAAGTACGTGAATACATGCAAATACATCTCTCAGATTAATGATTAGTCTCCGAAAATTGCTTAATTTTTTATTGTTTGGGAGATACAAGATGGCTAAGCGCAGATTACATAGCTAGAGGGGACTCGAGCCACACAAAATATTGCTCAACTAAGGCCTCCACTTCAAGTCAATGTGACTCAACAAATTAACACAGGTTTCATCGTAAAGTTAACCATATCAAATTCGCAGACCACTCATCATAAATTTATTTCATTTGCATATCACAAGGTGCAATCTCAGTGCTACTTACAAGGTCCATGTGGATGTGTTGCTCAATAGGAGTACTTTCAAATAACCTGTCATTCACAAAGAAAACAGAAAATATTTAATTTGTTGAGATAATTACACTATCACGACTAATGTGGCAGAGAGAATAATAATTTAAGCAATACTTTTCATATGCAACTTGAATACGAGCATTCTGTAATTGTTCGAGTTGGTTTACTGTCTCCGCAACAGAGCCTTCCATTAAGTCAACAGAGCCAAAAAGGAACATGTTATTTTCTAGCATTTTTTTAACCAAAGAAGGCACCACTTTAATATCTTTTTCTTTTGCATCAGCAACAAGGAGCCTAAGTTTCCTTAACTCTCCTGTAAGAGAAAGAAAGAAAGAAATCAGGTCAACATAGAAACTAGCAAACAAGCCAAGAGTTATGAATCCAAGATGCAAGACTTGGGACCTAGTTTTTTAATGTATCTTAGTCTGTTAGTCAAGTTTTCTACACTCATGTCAAAATATACTTGATTCAATGAGAACAGAAATATAGATAAACTAATTTTTGTTTTTACTTTACTCAAGTTCCAAAATTAATTGAAAGTGCTACTGGAATCAGAAGCATAAACACCAATAATTTAGAAAACCTAAAAATAAAGCTGGTAGTTAATGTTTAATAATTATACTCAAAACTTATGCGTGATTTAAAAAGAGAAGAAGAAGAAGAAGCAAGTCTTCAGTAAAACAGTCGCCCAGCAGACACAATATAGCCACATCCATCTGGGACACTGTTGGGCATATGAAGGGGAGGAAACACTTTTCTGCTGTCTAGCATCATCACAGGTATCATCTAAAATTTACTGATATCAGCCTAAACATATGCAAGAGTTGGGGCCAACACTAAAGATAAGTTGATAACAATATGAGAAGGTTGAGAATGTATCACTTTGACCATTCAGGAAAAAATTGATCATACCAAGGGACAGATAAACTCTAAAAGGAGGTTTAAACGGTTGAGTCTCATATAGACAGTAGAGGCAATAGAGGCCACCCAATCTGTGTAAAAAGGAGGCAGTGCCAACCATATAACCTGCACAGGATCAAAATTGGATACAATGAAATAAAAAGGTCAAGTAAACAAAGAAATACTACCATACTTGAATTTACAGTTACAAAAATTATATACTAGTGACTAGTGAATTTTCAGTGGTAAATTATGAAGTCTGCATTGTACACCCTCTGCTTTTTAAATTTAAGGATTTGTAGTGAGATTATTTAACAAAGAATACAGCTTCCACATCCACATCACAATCATAGTTGCGTGGTAAATCTGTGAAATTAGGTGATTGGCTTGCATTTGTCACTTAGTGTGACAATTTTACTGCTGTGAGAGTTTATAGATTGCACACATACCAATAGAATGGGCATACAGAGTTTGCATAAAGAAGGCCAGGTTGGTAGAAGGACTAGCTTCATAAATGTAAGAAAACTTCTTCGAAAGCCATACTCTCTTCATATTAGCAAAAGCTGTTGATCCATCCTGTCATGCACCAAATTTGAATGCGGTAAAAAGTGATTAAAAATCATGGGAAATGTCACAACGTCCAAAACATTATAAATAAGCTGGCATGATGGGCAGAAGGAGGAGGGGGGAAACCTGAGTAAATTCATCAATAAGCTCATCAATGTCCAATTTGAAAGAAGTGAGATTCATAATTTGTGTCTGAGAAAAACCATGCCTGATATTTGTTAAAAAATGAAGGTCAAAATTTGTAGTGCATTATATAATGTGACAGGAAAATAATAGAAGACACCACAATCAATCAGAACATGAACGAGAAATCAAACAGGGATAGCTAAAGACTCCTCAAACTTATTTAAAAAAATAAGCATGCCATAGAAGACCATGTTCAAGGCTTTCATGAAATATGAGCATGATCTAGTATGAAGACCCATGCCAAACCAAAGTTAGGTTAACGCTTCAACTTAACTAAGAATTGCTATGGAAACAGAACATATTATGCAGCGCAGATGGAGTGAAAAACAACAGAGAATAAATCTATTCCTAGTAATAATTTTGAAAACCAATTTCTTCAATACGCCACCAACATTTTGATTGTTTTAAGAGGATATGCCCAACATCTCTTTCCCATATTGTCATCTGATCTGATTTTATTTTCTTTCCTTTTTAGTTTTTTCTAGCCGTTAACCATAGGCAGACTTGTACAGGCCACAGAGAAGGCTGTGGGAGGCACTGGTGAGGAAAGTGAAACAATTAATCTCGAGCCTGGTAAATAAGAGTAGAAGAAAGCCAAAGAGAACACTTATGAAAGTTGTTGAATGAAACCTCTTAATTAATAATATTCCTAAAAGCTTGGCTGTTGATAAACACAATGATGTTATTCAATCCATATAGCCAACCCCACTTAGTGGGATAAGGCTTCTTGCTGTTATTGTTGTAAGCATAAGCAGACCTATGTTATACACTCAATAGGAGCATCTGCCCCAAATCGAGCTAAGTTGATATGATATCTTTTAATTTTTGTTCAGACCTTTGACACAACTCTTGCTAAGTCATTTACAATATCATACATCACAAATACCCTGAGAGTTTTCTAAATTGATGATAATATGAAGAGATTAATATAACAGAATGCCAATACACAACAAATACAACATGGAAAAACAACATAATCCAAAGCATAGGAGTTGCTAGTAACCCAAATGAAGAGGGCAGAAGTATAATAGCCAATTACACACTATTCAAGCTAAAACTAACTGCCCAAAATAATAATAATAATAATAATAATCTGTAAATCTTCCCTACTTCAAAAGCGTCAATATTCAAATGACTAAGCGACCAGATTCAAAGCCAAATTAAAATGAAAAATTTAAAACAAAGCAAGAACAACCACGCAGGGAACATATGATGTGGGGAACAAATTCAAATCCAGATTGAACAAACCGGATTCTGGGAAAGCCCTAGAGTTCGAACCTTCTTCACTACTTGCTTGAGAACAACCACGCAGGGCTGACAATGGTGGACGGCGTCCGACGGAGTGTGGAATGCTAGTTTGTCGACGAAGAGCTACTCACCACGAGATTGTGTTTTGTCGGGTTTTAATTAATTTAGGGAGAATTACGTACATGTCGAAATTAATTAACCCAAGTTCCAACGCAGCTAATGAAATTCACTTTATTCAGTAATATTGTTGGATAATAGACAGCTTTCTAATTTATTTATTTATTTTTTTGTGGTGAATCTTTCTAAAATCTTTTCTTTTTATACAAAACTTTTGCTTGCCAAATAGTCTAAAAAAAAAATTCCATACAAAATAAGATTTTTACAAGAATTTTTTAACTTTTAATTTAAGTGTACAAATTGTACTTTTAGAACCTATTATCATTTTTTTATTCTCATTTGTTTGAAAAAAATTTCAACTAATTAAATGTGACACTGGCCTTTTACTCTAATCCTTTTTATAAATCATATTTTTTAAAAAATTTGGTTCTTTATATAAGTTTTTTTTTATTCTTACAATCTTTAATGTACAATTCTAAAAATATTCTCCAACAAATTTTAAAGAAAAGTGCAATATTTAAATTTTTAAAAAAACTTTTCTCACATATCAAAATACTATTTTTTAAATGTAAGGACAAAATTAAAAAATAATTTATTTTTAAATTTTTATTATTATTTTAACTAATCCACCTTAAGTTATAAAAACAACTTATAAAAAAATTAAATAGAGTGATATGTTAAGTAGAATAAAAGAAGTAAAGACTAAAAAAAGTAATATAGACAAACAGAGTCTAAGGTGGCATAACTAAACATCGCAAACAATATCACATAACTAAAACAAATTATAGAGCTATCCTGCGTTGAACATTTTATGAAACTTATAATTAATCTTCATATTTATTACATGGCTTTCATCAGTATTTATTCATTGTTACAATTCTAAAATGTGGTTGGTTGAAAGTTTTTTGAGAGAAGGGAAGGAAAAAAATTTGAATATTTAAACATTTATCGAGGCTGAATTAAACATTTATTTTTAAAATTCTAAACTACTTTTAATATTAAAAGATTATGCATTATCCTTCTCTCTATTTCTCATAATAAAATAAATTTTATCACCTTACAAAAATTAATATATAATTTTTTTAATGTATAAAATTTTAATATTTTTTATCAGACTCACTAATAAAATATAATGCTAATGTATTTGTTTTTCCAAATTTTTTATTAATATAAGTTCATATTCTTAACATAAAAACTTAATAAATTATAATATAATAGTTTTTGAATAATAAATTGAAGCAAAAAATAAAAATCAAGTTAAATTTTATAGAAGTAAAATTTTAAATTTATTTTTGGACTTTTGGTTCTCCTCCTCCCCCTTCCTAAATCAAAAGGGATTTATTAAAATCTCTCCCATCCGCTCCCTCTCATCCTTCCTCATTTAAATCTCTCCCCTCTTCATGAACAAGGACATCCTAAAACTAGAGTCGACTATCACAGTGTCGGAAGTTGTATGGATACAAACAGAGATAACAAATTGATTGGTCAAATGACTAAAATTTTGGAGAGTCAGCTTCTATCCATTTATTTCCTCCTTATTTTCTCTCCACTTCTTATTTTAACTATTGAATCAAATTTTGAATGGTTAAGAATTAATATTTATAATATTAATATTAACATGTGAAGTTATGAACAATAAATAAATACATTTAAAATATCACAAAATATAATAAAATTTGATCTAAACTACCAAGATTTATGATTGTAATTTAAAAAAAAAATTGATCATGAAAAGTGGAGAGGAAATAGAAAGTGAATGGAGAGCGATCACGAAGTCAAAATTTTGGAGGACTGCGAATATGATTAATTTAAACCTCCACTTCTCTTGGCAGGTCTCAGGTCTGCGCTTGCAGATTGAATACATCCACAATGCTGACCACAACCACCCCCCCCCCCAACAAAAAAAAAAAAAGCACGACAGAGAGAGAGAGAGAGAGAGAAGAGTGACTGGTTTCATGATTATCATCACCTTCATGACAAATAGTCGGAGCCACCTATGAAGGCTCAAATATATCAGGATCTAAAACTGAAGGTACACAAGAAATTGAACGTTGCGCGTTTTTCAGCGGAATACAAATCTAAATATGATACAAATTATATAGCCTAACAGAGAAGTATGAACAAAGAGAAGTAAACTACCCGCGACAACCTTCCACCTCAAATCTAGAATATCCCATTTTCACAGCCGCACTGGAAGATTCGGCAGCTACATGCCATGCTGCATCCAGTCCTTGGCACAAACAAGGGCTTCCACCGTCTCTGGTCGCAAGGAGATCCGGTACTGATCCATCTCTTTGCTTTTTGCATCAAAAGCAGAGTGAGGAGGAACAGTTGATACTGGGATACACAAAATATCCCGAGCCATCTTGGAAAGAGTTGGGTACTTGACTCTGTTCAGTCTCCACCAACCTAATACATCGAATTCTGGAACACGGGGTAGCAGTGATTCTTCCAGATACTGGTCTAGTTCTGACTTCATTTGTTGGCTACTAGTTTCCATGATGTAGGCATCAAAATCAGTAAGACCACTATCTGATAACAGAGTTCCCCCTGGATATTCCTCCGTCTTCGTCTGGTTTCCCTTTCCTCCTCCTGGATATGCTGGAGTTAGTGGGAGGGGAAGAGCATCATACTCATGAAACAGCTCATGAATTCCATCATCAACGATTTTGATATATTCATGGGCATCCTCACCTAATACTCTCGAGAAACTATACTCAACAAACTTCATCTTCAAACGAGGATCCATAACTACTGCAATTGCCCACACCAGACTGCACTCTCTCCAGTATTTCTCAATTTTTTCTTGCATAATTTTATTGAGGTTCCTAACAAAGGGATCCTCACTCATCACTGCACGAGCCAACTCCAACTGCAACTTCCAAACTTCTTGAAAAAATGTTATCGCAGCGGGATCATTGGTTGTTGTGGTAAGAATGTTTGCCACATCATAAATGGGTTTCAAGCATGTGCAGAGGGTCTCAACCAGCCTCCAATCTTGCATTGTAGGCGCTCCTTTGTAATCAGGATCAGAAGTATCCAAACAACAAAATACTTCCTTCAATTCAGAAGCAGCCACAAGCATTTGGTATGTCGTGTTCCATTGAGTCTGGTCATCAATGAACAGGTTCTTTTCACTGGGAACCTGAAGTTGCTGCTTGAGCTCCAGGAACTTTTCCTCACGTGATTCTGATGTTTTCACATATTTTACACTACTACGAATTTTCCTAACTATGTCTTGTGCTGATCCCAATAAATCAGTTGCGACCCTGCTTAACTCACGGGCAATGCAGTTACCAAGCACCAACTGACCATTGAGGATAAGTGGATTCTTTACCGAGAGTAAAGGTCTGAGATTTTCAAAAGCAGCACCATTCAATGCCTGATTAGAAGTGATAGAGAAGAGTCTACCCTCCAAACTCCAATCAGAAAGACAAACAGCAACAGCATGGCTGAGAGCAGAGTCAGAATCAGGGTAGGGTTCCATAACAACATTGAGAATCCGCCTCCGTAGCTTCCAATCAATATCAACAAAATGCGCATTAATATACACGTACCCTACAGACTGGCTGGACGTCCACATATCCAGTGTCAGACAAATACGTCCTGGTATTCCCTCAAAATACTTCATAAGGTTTTGTTTTTCTCTCAGATACGCATCAACACAATCTCCTTGGATGGTGTTAAAGGTTACCATATTGAACTGGGGCTGTAGATTTTGGACAAAGGTAACAAATCCCGGATGCTCAACCATGTGAAGCGGGTAATCATGCATGATGATCATTTTAGCAATCTCATGGCGACATCGATCTTGATTGAATATCATGTATGGTGTGCTAGGGGATCTATAACGTCTTTTTGGTGTATCACTAGCACCGCCACCCCCACTTCCTCTTCCACGTGGAGTATATGGAGTTAATTGATTCTGCTGCTGGTTACGAAGAAGTGCCGAGCAGGTCCCCTTGGCAATGTGGCGTTTGAGGTGGCTGGTACCAGCAACTTTTGAACCTGTACTATAGGCGAAACTTTGCTTGCATTGTTTGCAGCATGCCCTTCTACATCCAGGACTGATGGTTTCTATAGTGAAGTGCTCCCAGACTACGGATTTCTTTTTCCTCCGCTTGCTTGGCTGAGTTTCTGGAGCACGTTCCTCATCATTGGGCTGTGCAGAAGCATCTATTATCTCATAGCTAGGTGGGGTTTCAGTATTTACTATCTCGTACTGCGATTGAGAAACAATTAGTTGATTGTTGTTCACTGCTTCACTGTTTGCTAGCTCATAGTGAGACAACATTTGAGAATTTGCTAACTGATCATGGGATAAAAATTCAGAGCTCGTCACATCGGTTATTGTCTCAGAATGTGTCAAATGATTGTTGGGCACTGTTTCATAATGGGCCAGATTATTGTCGAGTATTGGCTTGGTGTCAGTGGGATTATTGTTTTGCAGCGGTTCAGTCTCAAAATTATGGAGCGATTCAGGAATTGGCATCTGATTTTCATCAAGCACGTGGAAATTGGTGAACTGATTATTGGGAAGATGTTCAGGATGGGCGAACTGATTGTTGGGATGCGTTATGGAATTTGCTTCAGACATTATGATATCACCATTAGTCTGTGTTTCAGATATGAAAGCGTCATTGCCAGGCTGCGTCTCAGGTATGACTGCTTCATTGCTGGATTCTGTTTTCAACGTCATAACCACCTCAGAGCTGGGTGGAGTTTCAGAAATAATCACTTCGACGCTGGACTGTGTTTCAGAACTAACCACCTCATTGCTGGCTTTTGTATCAGAATTAACCTGACCACTGTTCAAGGGTGCCTCAGAATTGACCAACCGGCTGTTAGGTGGACCTTCAGGGGTGAGCAGCTTTTCAGGAGGAGCTTCAGAGTTAACTAGCTGATCCTCCGGGTCGTCCAACTGATTGGCAGATGATACCTCAGAATGAACAAGCTGATTGTTGAGTTCGGCCTCAAAATCACCTGGCTTGTTGCTAATTTCTGATTCAGAATTAACAGACTGATTGCCGGTTGCTTCCTCACTAGTGGCTTGGCTCTTGGACATGTGAAGCCCCTGCTTAGCTGTTTCAGTACTTGAGCGGTCATTGTCGGGCTGAGATTCAAAATCTCCAAACCTACTGTCAGGAACTGATTCAGAAGTTGCTAGATCATTGCTAGGATGAGCATCCAAACGAACGGGATCATTCTTCACGCCAGGGGTCACCATTTTGTCTTGTTCAATGGTAGCCATTTTGTCTTAAAATATATCTATGCTCTACCTGGCAGACTATATTAACAATAATGGTGAATGAATAAAGACATTTAAATACACATATTCCAGACAATAATACAGATGAAAAAACACATTTAAATTACTTATATATCATAAGCACGATAGCACATTCATGCACATGCATATCTGGTCATGTTCACTATCGCTGAATATCTTCCAAGTAGATGAAAGAAGATATCCATAAATATAAAATAATCAAGAGATAAACCCGAAGAAAATTTTCTGACAAATTGAAGAGCCAGATTCCTTGAGGATAATTGATAGAGAGAACAAATGATCTGAGCATGTATAGCAACAGTATAATAAGCCTAAAATGAATATTAGCTCTATACACTAGAAAGTTCTGCTAGAGTAATAAATCTTCTATTGAACGCAAATGTTTGCATCAATAGTATAAAACATTAATGGTAAAGTGAACCCTTTACTTTTTCAAAACATGATTGGGACAAGAAAAAGGACATTTTTTAAGCACATCCAAGCTAAGGGAATGAACCTAAAAGAGATTAATTAACTCCACAACAAATACGAGACATGATGCACATATCTGGTTTTAAGACTTAAAAGTGAGTTCAAGACCCTAGCTCGCAGACAGAAAATGAAGTTCGATTTCTTTGTTCTCTTGGCTGACAGGATGCAACAGCTTGCTTTTGACATGCATACCACTTGATATCAAAACCACTGGCAATCTTTTTCTCTTTTGGTCAAATAGCAATTGGCAATCTTAACATCAAGTGAACACGGCAAAAGGTAGCAGCTCGAACTGTTATTGAACCGGGAAGGTACTTAGCAACGATATGATAGGGAAAAAATAATTTAGAAAATTTACAAGTTTGATCCCAATAAATTTATTCAAGTTTTAATTTGGTTCATATAGTTTAAAACTTTATGTTTAACACCTTATAATTTACGAATTTTAAGATACCTTATAATTTACGAATTTTAAGATTTAGTGCCTTGGATTATGTTAATATTCTGTTAAATTTTATCGATGTATCTAATCAAAAATTGTCTCACAATTGACACTTCAAATATGTGTGGTTCATGTTAATAAAAGAAATAAATCTATAGATGGTAAAGTAAGATCAACCCACATATATGGTAAAATATTAGCAAAACTATAAAAACAAGGACCAGCATAAAACATGAGTAAAATTATCGGAATAAAAAAATAATTTTCCAAATTAAATTAGTAATAAACATTTTACAAACAAATTTGTATAATTTTTTAAATGAAGGTACTGTAATTGCAAAATATGAAAATCAAAACTTGTTTTAGAATTGCCAAGTGTTCCTACTGAATAGATATCAGTTTAATACAGTGTCCTTAGTAGTGAGTCCCTTAAGTATAAGCTACAACGGAAAATAGCAAGCAGAGGAGGAGAGGAAGTCGCGTATCGCCTACGCCTAACACGGCTGAAAGGGAGCGAAACAAGCCAATATATGAGAGGACAAGGTTAAAATTTTTATAGTTGGGCTTTAACAAAAGGGAAAGGCCCATGTGAGCAGACAACTCATCAATGAACAAAATTGAAAACTTATAATTTAATCGAGTACGCTTTTTCGCCCAACGTTCCAAACCGGATGGCTGGTGGGATGGGTTCCAGTGGCCTCGGCCACCAGTTCCAAGAAAATAAATTGATGCATCAAACTCAGTTTTATACCCAATTGCTTTTCTCTTGGTCCTAAAATTCGAAACACCCACTGATTCACAACTACGCTTTGTTTATCCCAAAAAAAAAAAAAACTACGTTTACCACAAAATCAGTTGTCTGGCTGCACTGGCCACTGACAGTTAATGAACCTGAATTGGGCCCACGCCTCAGTTGGATCAGCCCAGCAAAGTTAAAACCGGAACATTCGTGAGAACAAATATGCACGGAGGAGCAATAATCCAGCCGATGAAGGGAACAAAGACTACCATGATAGCCCACACAAACCAGGGTCAAAATTGGTATATCAATGGGCTACCACCGGCGGAAGGGGGAAATCCCAAAAAACTCCGGGAACTGATCTATCGCGAAGATTAGCCCAGATCAGAAGCGCCCCATCCAAGGATTGAAATGAAATTTCGAATCATAACGAATGCAAAATGAACAAAACAAAATCAACCAGATCCAATTTATCAGTAGCTACAAGTAATCATGCTATGAATTTCGAAAATCATCAGACTAAACCAAAAGAAGATGGATAATTAAACTAGTTGCCAGAAACAGCTAGCAGTTTCATGCAGCGAAAACAAGAAGTACACGATCAGCGAAAAAAAAATAGGGTTAGGGATTCACCAGCTGAAAGAAGGGACCGAGACCGCGAAGACCGAAACGCGGAGTTGAAGGAGGAAGCTCGGAAACCGAGCCTCAAAGTCACCGGAGATCGATCTAGGGTTTTGCAGAGGAGAGAGAAAGGACGCAAGGGGAGGGAGGGAGATGGTGATTGGGCTTGGAACGAACCCGAGAGGCCAATTGGACCTTCGAGGGAACGAACTGGTTCAGTTTGAAGGGATAGGGTTTCTGGCTCCTCAGAAGATTAACGATAGGGCAGCTCTTTTGGATTTGGAACTTGGACTCTGGGTCCATTATTTTTATTTTTTGGTTCTTTTACTCATATTTATATTGTTATTATTATTATTATTATTGTTATTATTATTATTCTTTTTCTTTTTCTCTTTTTTTGGGTTCCGTAACGATAAATCTTATCGCCTTGTTTTTTTTCCGCTCAAAGGAAGCCCAGGAATTCGTCGAGCAACATGGTTTACGTGGATGACGTGGGAGAGGATGTATCAGCCCACTCATATTATGATGCGTCCAATGTTTTTGTTTTTCGGGGTTAAATATCCAATATTATGGTTTTGATTCCCCTCCCTATTCTGTAAATATATCCAAAACTAATTTTCCTCCTGCTCTCACCGACCTTTTGTGATTGGATTAAAATGGGATACAAAGAACCGATTATCGAATTATACGGATGATAAATAAATCATCAAATTGACCCAAAAGAGGAAAAAGAAAAGCAACATTAACCAGATCAGTTACACAGCAAGTGTCACGAGTTCCACATCAAGAACCTCACAAGTGATATGAAATTTATAAATTTAAAAGACTTTCCTCCTAATAAACTAATCTTTTAAGATAAATTCTCTCTTTAAACTTAAGGACTACTTATAATAATTTTGTATTTATGGTTTGAATAACATTTGAGTCCATGACAAATAGTGTGCTTTCATTGAGAGAACCGACTTTTATGGAGCAACATCAACATTCTCATGATTCACTGCCATTGCTGTGAAGAAGGATACTTCTCGCCTTGACAATATTATAACTAGGATTTTCGCCCTCAATCAAAGATTGGAAAGGTGGACGAATCTCTAACTGTTAAGGATCTGTTTTGCTCCCCCCCAATTTGGAGGGGAGGCTTTGAAGGGGAAAAAAAAATTTTAAAATTTCCCTTCCCTTCCTCCTAACCAAAGGAGGGGAGGGGAGCCCCTCCCCTTTCTCCCAACCAAACACACCTTAAATATCCACGGACTCTTTACAATTGCTGCCTTCTCAAGTCACTCTACAATTAAATGCTAGTTCTAAAGACGAGTTGGTCTATTTTGAGGTTGCGGATTCCATAGTGATGTCGACGTGCGCAATTAGCATTGAAGGAGAAGATGATATTGAAGAAACGAAGGAACCACCGAATATTGAAGTTCTATTGGCCACGAATACTCAAATGCAATCAATGTTTGGAGATGAGTTAGCTAATTCCGTCCTTATGACCTCTGAGACTGTGGCGAGCAAACTAAGTAACTGTCCCACTTTGTTAATTTTACACCTACTGGAATATTCACCAAGAGGATTTGTTTTATCAATATCCTAGAGGTTCAGGTTTGGTCTCCCAATTCCTCTGTTCCCTCCATTGTTTATGTCCAAAGCTGTGATTGCTCCTCTCTTAAGATGCACACATGGTGTTTGTTAATATATCACTTCACCAAATCTGATTCATGTGCTGGTCGTCTAACTTTATTTATGTTTTTAATTCTAGTGTTTGACCCGGTGTTATCAAGAGAGTTTGGTGTTTGCATTTTACTGCTACACTTTATCATTTAAATGCTACAAGCATGTTATAGGCCTTTAGATTTATTGCTTCGCTCAATTTAATCCTTGCAAATAGGCCCTTCGCTCTTGTAAAGTCACTTATGGCTATTGAGTTGCAAGTTAATTATGGGGAAATGAGTTTGTGTTATGCGACATCCACTTGGAAACTTATGTTCTGTTTCCTAAAAGGGTTTGTTATAAGGATGCAAAAATATGGTTTCCCTGATGACCATTTTAGTGAATCTTACTCTGTTGCTACAAGTGGTAAAATTCTTAACCAACAATTAATAGTCAAAGGTCCATTTAGGATTATGAGTCAAGCTGGTGCAGCAAGTTATGGAACCATTATATCTCATACTTTCATTTATGATCTTATGATTGAAGTTCTTGCTGCTTGGGTCTCATGGACGTGCTCTACATGCCCAATTTTGCATGTTGTGGGGAATATAACTATTCTCACTAAGGGCCCTGTTTCCACTTTTAGATTGGGTGATTACCATCATATTCAGGTCAATTGGGTCTTTGATCTCGGAACTCATGCACCAACTTCATATTTTCCAAGTCTTGTGTTACCCATAGTTTTTATGAGGGTTGCATTATGTTTTATTCAAAGTTTGATGCTCAATACTTTAGAATTAGATAAATTTTTTGAGAATTTAGAGGCTGACTTAAGCAACTTTGGCATAAAAGATCGTGCTTCAGAACTTGGTGATTTTTGTCTTGTTTCTGATACAACAATAGTTGCCTTTCCTATGCTCGGTTTATCCCAAAATCATCATTATCATGGTAACCACCAGTTTGAAGAAACGAGGAAGACTAAAATTGCATTGAAGTTCCAATGGGATGTTATGGCTATATCATTGAGTTCATTACTTTCGCATATTTTTAGACATGTCAATTTCTCCATATTAACGATCTTGAGATGCGCAAGGGTTATCATAATTTTGGAGACACGTGTCCAGACTTTGGATGGTAGCATTAATGATGAGATATTAAAAATATTGTTCACTCCATTTAGTGCAATTGCTCCTTGCAAGGTTACTCAACCACAAACGCATTCAAGAGCTACTTTACTGTCACCATTTCCATACATGAACCTTTTGATTTCTGTTGGTCCTCCTATTTTTATGGCAGGTTATCACACATGAACTTGACCTTGAGGACAAGATCAACCTTAAGGGCGAGGGAATGTCACGATACAATGCTCAAGTGGGATGGGCCAGGAGGTTATATGGGCTGGGAATGAAATGAGTGGGCCTAAAGTCTGTTGAAGTTGAGAAAAGGAAGGACTATATGAGAAGGATGAAGTTTACCGAAAAGGGTGTGAAGATTATTTGAGAAGACTCTCTCTCTCTCTCTAGCATTCTCCTTCTTCCCTCTAGCCGTTGTCACTGATGATGGATTCTCTTCTTCTTCTTCTCCTTTCTACAACTCTGTAACTACCTTTCCCTTTCCCCTTATATCTGTTCTTCAAACTGTTGTTTGGATTGGAATTTTCATTGAAGATAGTTCAGTTGTGTTTCTGGTTTGAATAATGAGTCCGTGACAGCAAGTTTTGAGTACAAGGACAGATCCGTGGAGCAACGTAGAGTATCAGAAAAACATATGACAAAACGAAATTATGATTAAGGATTTACCTGTTCCGTCAAGGGACTATGATGCGAAGTGGCTGACGCGCGTTGTTGAAGCCTGAGGGACGTTGGCCCAAAGTCTTGTAAACTGCTTTCTTAGGCTGAAGATTACTAAAGACTAGAGGGGGAAGCTCAGTCTTTTTTTTTTTTTTAAATCACAAACAAGAAAACCATTTGTATTTTTGTTATTTATCACCCCCAATCACTATCACTAATCACGTCTCACTGTACCTTACAGCAATAGTGAAATTTTGAACTTCGACCTTTTAAGTTATGAGACAAAATACTTGTTAAATGTAACAAGCCTTGTTGGTAAAGGACTGTGCACAAATAAGGTAAAGTTGCAATCACATCTTTATCTTTCCTTGGGCCTTGTGGTAGCGTTCAACCATTGGCTTTTTTTTAAAAAAAAAAATTCTGATGTTTTATTTTTTGTCAAAAAAAACATTTTGCGAGTCTTGCGTTAGTCTTATACATTATACTGAGAAATTTTATAGTTTGTATTAATCTTGGATATTACATTAATAACTATTTTCTGGCCAAAATAATATTAAAACTATTTAACTTCGAAACCTTATCCTATTTTGATCCTACTTACTATAACCTCAAGGGGGCTTAATGTGTATTATTTAAAATTCTGTTAACACACAATTGTTTCTTTATTATACAAAAGGAAATTTTGCCTTGTAAATAATATTGATGATTGATGATTCTGATTATTGATATTGATCCCTAATGCCCATGCGTGTTTGTGTGTTGGTTGACGATTCATGCAACTCAGTTAAAAAGTTGAAATCCGTGGTCCCAAAAAATACTAACGAAAAGGGGATAGAAACAGAGAGTCAGTCTAAAGAGTCAAGGATGAGAGGTGAAAGAAATTTCACCTCCCATTCAAAGCCAAGTTTAAACCTCTCGCCTGATCAATTCTGCAATTGCCCATCGAGTACTTTGGTAATTAATATCCCCAAAAGGACAAAAAGGATTACTTTCATAATTAACATAACCTTCCAACAAATCGGAGGAGATATCTAAGGCTCGAGCTACACCAGATACTAAATATTCCCGTCCACTCGTACAAAATAAACAGTTAATTAATAATTGGTACAAATACAGCCTAATACAGAACACTACAGCTAGAAATAGAATAACCACAATGACCTAGCTCAATACAGGACACATACACCTATAATCTAAAATCCCATCTTCACAGCCGCATTGGAAGTCTCTGCTGATCCATGCTGCATCCAGTCCTTCGCACAAACAAGTGCTTCCACTGTCTCTGGGCGCAATGAGCTCCGGTACTGATCCATCTCTTTGCTTTTTGTATCAAAAACAGAGTCACCAGGGACAGTTGATACCGGGACGCACAAAATGTCCCGAGCCATCTTGGAAAGAGTTGGGTACTTAACTCTGTTTAGCTTCCACCAACCTAATACATCAAAGTCTGGAACGCGAGGTAGCAGTGACTCTTCCAGATACTGGTCTAGCTCGGACTTCATCTGTTGGCTGCTAGTTTCCATGATATAGACATCAAAATCTGTGAGACCACTATCTGACAATAGAGTTCCTCCTGGGGATTCTTCCATCTTCATATGACCTCCAGCATTTCCTTCCTCCGCATACGCTGGAGTTAAAGGGAGGGGAAGGGCCACATACTCATGAAACAGCTCGTGAACCCCATCATCAACGATCTTGATATATGCATGGGCATCATCACCATATATTTTTGAGAAACTAAACTCAACAAGCTTCATCTTGAAGCGAGGATCCATGACCACTGCAATTGCTAACACCAGACTACAATCTCTCCAGTACTTGCCAATCTTTTCTTGCATGATTTTAGTGAGGTTGCTGACAAAGGGATCCTCACTCATAACTGCACGAGCCAGATCTAATTGCAATTTCCAAACTTCATGAAAAAAGGTGATAGCAGTGGGATAATTTGTCGCAGTAAGAATATTTGCAGCATCAAAAATGGGTTTCAAGTATGTGCAGAGGGTTTCAGCCAGCTTCCAGTCTTGCATTGTTGGCGCTCCCTTGTAATCAGGATCAGAAGTATCCAAACAACAAAATACTTCCTTCAATTCAGAAGCCGCTACCAGCATTTGATATGTTGTACTCCATTGAGCTTGGTCATCAATAAAAAGGCTCCTGTCACTGGGAACCTGAAGTTGCTGCTTGAGCTCTAGGAACTTTTCCTCATGTGATTCAGATGTTTTCACATATTTTACACTATTCCGGATTTTCTTCACCAAGTCATGTGATGATTCCAATAAATCATTTGCAACACTGCTTAAGGTACGGGCAATGCAGTTGCCAAGAACCAACTGACCATTGAGGATAAGTGGATTCTTTACTGAGAGTAAAGGTCTGAGATTTTCAGGTGCAACTCCATTCAATGCCTGGTTTGAAGTAATAGAAAAGAGTCTGCCCTCCAAACTCCAATCAGAAAGACAAACAGCAACAGCATGGCTGAGAGCAGTGTCAGAATCAGGATATGGTTCCATAACAACATTGAGAATTCTCTTCTGCAACTTCCAATCACTATCAACAAAATGTCCAGATATAAACACATAACCAACAGACTGATTTGATGTCCACATGTCCAACGTCAGACAAAAACGCCCTGGCAATCCCTCAAAATACTTCATAAGGTTTTGCTTTTCCGACAGGTATGTTGCAACACAATCTCCTTGGATGGTATTAAAGGTCACCATGTTAAACTGTGGCTGCAGATTTTGGACAAAGGCAACAAATCCTGGATGCTCCACCATGTGAAGGGGATAATCATGCATAATGATCATTTTAGCAATCTCATGGCGGCAACGATCTTGATCAAAAATCATGTAAGGTGTGCTTGGGGATCTATATCGCCTTTTTGGTGTGTCACTAGCAGTGCCACCCCCACTTCCCCTTCCACGTGGAGTATATGGGGTTAACTGATTCTGCTGCTGATTACGGAGAAGTGCAGGACAGGTCCCCTTAGCAATGTGGCGTTTGAGGTGGCTAGTACCAGCAACTTTTGAACCCGTACTATAGGCAAAACTTTGCTTGCATTGCTTGCAGCATGCCCTTCTACATCCAGCACTCACAGTTTCTATGGTGAAGTGTTCCCACACTATGGATTTCTTTTTCCTCCGTTTGTTTGGTTGTGTTTCTGGGGTATGTTCTTCATTGTTTGGTTGTGTTGAAGCATCTATTATCTCATAGCTAGGTGGAGTTTCAGAATTGACTAGCTCATAGTGGGATTCAGAAATGGCTAGCTGATTATTGTTCAGTGTCTCATTGTTTGACAGCTCAAAGTGAGACAACATTTGGGAACTGGCTAGCTGATCATGCGACATCATTTCAGGGTTTGCCAGTTGATGATCAGACATTGGCTCAGAGGGGGCCAAATGACCACCGGGCAGTGCTTCAAAGTGGACCATATTGTTATGTATTGGTTTGGTTTCAGTGGGATGACTGTTTTGCGGTGGTTCAGGTTCAGAATTAGGAAGTGATTCAGGAAGAGGCATCTGACTTTCATGTATCATACGGAAATCAGTGAACTGACTATTAGGAAGAGTTTCAGGATGGGAAAACTGATCGTTGGGATGTCGTATGGAATTGGCTTCAGACATGATGACATCACCACTGGTCTGTGTTTCACACATTACCACCTCATTGCTGGGCTGGGTTTCAGACATAACCACCTCACTGTTGCCCTGCGTTTCAGACATAACCCCCTCACTGTTGGGCTGCGTTTCAGACATAACCACCTCATTGTTGGGCTGCGTTAACACATATCCCTGGCAGAAGAATTTAGGAACGTGGTGAGTGAATCAGCATGCATGAAAGCAGCAGTCAAAGAAGCAAACCTATAAGAAAATTCTTTGGATAGCTCCATTAACCAGAAAGGAATGTAAAATTGGTAAACCTATTAATTAAAAATAATGAACACAGAATCATGACAAATCCAGCCATGTCAAAATTTACATCAATAGAAAATTGAAGGGAGGTATTCTTTAACAGAGTTCCAAGCATGGCATAAAATGACTGCAAGGTTTCAACTTACAGTTACTTTCCAAAAGCATAATGGGAACCAAAAAGGTCATTTTCCAACCACATCTAGTCTTTTGGAATGAATATAAAAGTGATCTAATCCAAAACAATCTAATGATCATACAGAATGTTAAGAAAAGAAGCCCTAAACCCATGCTTGCTGACAAAAAGTGAGTTTGGCCTTTTGTTCTCCTTTTAGGCTTGGGCAGCTACATTACTTCAAGTTTCAGTCAGTGAGAGTCCAAAGGACAATGCACTAACTATATTGAACCAGGATATTGATACCAGTACATTTGGCATCCTTCATAGACTATGTATGCAGGTTACTCTTCTTTTATGTTCTCACTATATCACCAATAGCCACCAACTAGATGTACCATAATTGATAGGACAGTTACCTAACCTAAATGGCCATCAAGTATTAGCCCAGAAAAAACTTGGACCCACAATTCAGTCAAGTCATCCCATTTCAGTAAGAAGAGAAGCACTGTGAGAATCATTAAACAGAGAAACCCAGTAGAGTCAATCAAGAAAAAGACCACTAACAAAGCACGCACAAACCAGGGTTGAAATTGGTCTATCAATGGGCTAGCAGCATAGCACTGGTGGGAAAAACAATAATAAGGGATCCAGGGATTGAACTCAAATGATTAACCCAGACTGCAAAAACCCTATGGATAGCAACCAAAAATTTCAAACCATTTGAATGGAAAAATATCAAACCTCATTGCCTGGCTGTGTCTCAGGCATGACTGCCTCATTGCCAGATTGTGTCTCAGGCATGACTGCCTCATTGCCATGCTGAGTCTCAGGCATGACACCCTCATTGCCAGATTGTGTCTCAGGCATGACTGCCTCATTGCCATGCTGAGTCTCAGGCATGACACCCTCATTGCCAGGTTGTGTCTCAGGCATGACTGCCTCATTGCCATGCTGAGTCTCAGGCATGACACCCTCATTGCCAGGTTGTGTCTCAGGCATGACTGCCTCATTGCCTGGTTGTGCATCAGGCATGATTGCATCATTGCCATGTTGAGTTTCAGCCATGGCGACCTCATTTACAGACTCTGTTTCAGGCATAACCACTTCATTTCCAGGCTGAACTTGAGACAAGGCAATCTCATTGGCAGGCTGCATTTCAGACAAGGTCATCTCATTGCGGGGCTGAGTTTCAGACAGAACGGTCTCATTGCTGGGCAGTGTTTCAGACACAACAACCTCATTGATGGTCTGTGTTTCAGAGGTCACCGCCTCATTGATGGGCTGTGCTTCAGAATTAGCCAGTCCATTGCTTAGTGGTGCCTCGGAATGGACCTGCTGATAGTTGGGTGGTGCTTCAGGGATGATTTTCTCATCAAGAATTTTGGCACTAAGATGATCCTCAGGGTTGACCAACTGACTGGTAGGCAATGCCTCAGAATGTGCCAGCTCATTGCCGGGTTGAGCCTCAGAATTGCCTGGATGGTCATCAGGAAGTGAATCAGAATTCATCGATTGATTGCTTGGAGGTTCTCCAGAGTGAGCCAGCTCCTGCTTGGGTGATGTCACCACATTCGCTACCTCACTAGTGGCCTGGCTTTCAGACATGTGAAGCACCTTGTTAGGCTGTTTTTCAGAATTTGACAAATCGTTGTCATGCTGAGATTCAGGATTTTCCAATTTACCATCAGGCACAGATTCAGAAGTTAAATGATCATTGTTAGGATTAGCATCTACACTGTTTGGTTCATTCTTCAAATCAGGGGTCATGTGTCTATCCTCTTCAACAGTGGCCATCCTGCCTGAAATTATATCTCCTCCTTCCCTGTCTGGAGCAATATGAACATTAGCGAGTAAATTACAAAAGAAAACATCTTCCAGACAAGAAAATGCATAAATTAATTATTCATCCTAAATTGCATTTGTGAACATGCAAATCTAATCTTACTTACTGTCATTGAATATCTTCCAAGTATGTGAAAGAAAAAGTTTATATATATAGATAATTGATGAAAAAGATAGAACTGAAGAAAAATTTGACATAATGAAAAAGCAAAGTTAATTATAAACAGAACATGGGAAAAAATAAGTTAAGCATACAGGAAGGCCAAAGTAAAATAAGCAAGGCAATTAGAAAATGTATAATAGAATTGAACAATAAACAAAAAAGAACTGTAAAAGTATCTCAGTTCTTGATCCTGTAGAAAATTTGAAGTCCGAATTTGCAAAATATAAAATTGAAGGGAAATATACAAGTCTTTAATAGAGTTCCGTGTATTAGAACTCAAGGGATGTGAACTCACTCATACTTTCATAAAACATATATAGACCAACAAAAATAGAGACTTTCCCAAGCACATCGAAGCACCCCGACAGAAAATGAGCTTTGGTTTGGCCTTTGATTTCTTATTTCGGCACGTGCAAGCGCAATACTTCAAGTTTGCACTAACTGTGTTAAATTTGACTAACTAGGATATCGATATCAGCACTTCATAAAGCACCCATACCAGGCTGATATGATTTAAAAGCTGAAGGAAACTCCTCATCGTGTTACTGAAATGTACAGTACAACTTGAGTTCCATCAGAACTATTTGTTATGTTGCAATCTTGTTATACTACATGTGGCAAAAGATTCGACAACAAGGCCCAACGGAGTGCCCATGAATTTGAGCTGCATGCTCTATATACAAGTCCTTGCTTAGCGTTTCTTTTGTTCTCGCTACATCGCCTATGGTCAACACAATACTGCACCATGAGCCCGCTGGCTGGCTAAATCGGCCAGTGACTAGGAACCGAAACACGACTTGGGCCCACAATTCACTCAAGCCGGCCCAGCTCAGTAGAAATACGAAGATGATATCAGAATTAGATAACCAGAGGAAAACAGAACAGACAATCAAGAAGTGAAAGACTACGAACAGAGTCCACACAAACAGGGTCGAAATTGGGATATCAATGCGCTCGCACCCGCAGAAGAGGAAAACCGAAAAGGCAAAAAAGAGATCTGGAATCGATTTTGCTCACTGAGTAGCCCAGATCAGAAGCGCTCCACGGATCGCAACAAAATTTCGAAGCTTTTCAATGCAAAATGACCTCTTTGACCGAAAGCTAAACGAACAAAGCCAAACAAAATCAACCAGATCCAATTATTATCACTAACAGCACACCAATATGTCATGAATTACACAAATCAGAGCAAAACAAACGGAATAGATGTAAGTAAACTAATCACCATAAACGATCAACAGTTTCACGCAGCAACCGAGAGTAGCAGCAAAAGAATAAGGATCACAAGAAGTCCAGATTAGGGATTCACCGGCTAAACGAAAGATTTTGACAGTGAAGACCGATCCGCGGAAAAAGGCGGAAGCTCGGAAACCGAGCTTCGAGCTCGCCGGAGAGCGATCTAGGGTTTTGCAGAGGAGAGAGAGGGAGGAGGGAGAAGGAGATTGGGCTTGGAACGAACCCGAGAGGCCAATTGGACCTAGGAGGGAACGAACTGGTTCGGTTTGAAGGGATAGGGTTTCTGTCTCCTCAGAAGGTTAGCGATAGTGCAGTTCTCTTGGATTTAGAACTTGGACTCTTGGTCCATTTTTTTATTTCATTTACATATATTTTTTATTATTAGTAACTTGATAAATTTTCTCCCTTTTTTTCCCGCAAGTGTTTTTGGTGGGAAAGAAAGCCCAGCGCTTGTTGGTTGCAACAAGGTTGAGTGTTAGGAGCGTGCGTGGAGGGCGAGTGAGTGGGTGTATTAGGCAGCTTCGTGAGTTTTAGCGTTAGCCCAATCATATTTCGATGCGTCCAATGTTCCGCTTTTGATTCCTATTCTGACTGACTTGTGAGGCTATTTTTTTTTTTTTAAATTTCGTCCCACTAGTGCTTCTTTTATTTTCACTTTGACTAATCACGTCTCATCGCCTTATCCAACCAGCTATTCTCCATCTGTGTTAACTTTAAAATTAAGTCATTTCCATTTTTTGAGTTTCATCGAATTTCCGACCTTAACTCGTTTTCCTAGAGACAACAAAACTAATTTTCACTAATAACAAAGACTAATCTTTCTTGGGATATTTTCCAACTATACTTGTCCTGTGAAAACCCTTGCTACTTGCTCTGGCTTGGGTGAGCTTGTCCATTGGTTTATATGTCTATGCATGCTATCGAGTCATTCCTGTATAATTACATAATTACTTTCTTTGGTTCAAATCATGACACGTTTTTAACTAATTTACAAAACCAGGATAAATAGCCACGTCTTCCAATATCTTAATTTTCTCAACAGAAATAGTATCGCAAGACTAACCCGTCTCTCTTTACTTTGTTTTGTCAAAGTGAAATTATGGAGGACAAACTTGAGAAACAATCATAGATGCTTCATTATTTTTCATAAAACATCTTAGATTTTAAAACATGAAATCTTATTTTTAAAAAAGGTCTCAATACTTCGAAATGGGGAAGTATCATATCTTAATCAAACGATTCCATAAGAATGTAAAAAATATTGCACGTTAATTTTTTCTCAAATAAAATCTTGATAAATGTTATCTAGCTCGGTGAAGTATTTTTTTATCCTGGTTTACCTCAATGATGGAAAAAACAAATTCATAAATGGGCAAGAACGAAATGGGACCGTACAACTTCTAGGCCTTTCTTTACTTGGTAGGCAAATCTGATTCAGTCCACTTATGTCACAAACACTACATGACCTTGGCCCACATAGTCCGGGCCCAAAAGCATACCCTGAGTTCTGAGATTAGTGAAGCTCATATTTAACTACATGCTACCTTGAATGCTAATTCCAAATACACATTAACAGCGTAGAAAAAATAAATAAATAACGATTGATTAAATTAACTAACCGAAACTTCTCGAACTATGGAAATTGCGTAAAAATGGATCGTAAACTAAGAGTTTTAATAATTTTTTAAAGTTTTTTTTTCGCTTGATTTGTTATTGTTAATTAAGAGCTAGTGTTTTGTGATTGAGGCAGTACAAGAGTTTAAGTGATAGATCAACTACGTGTTCTGATTTTCTTTTTTATGGAAAAAAATTTAAATGAACAGGGTCCTGAAAATTCATCAGGATCAATATATACTTTAAAGCTCAAAGCGCTTACAGTTACATTAACACTTATAATCATTCACATTGATCTTCACATTGACAACGGAATTTCAACCTATGATCTTATAAGTTATGGGCAAAATCTTTGCACCAACTGGAATAATCCTGCAATTGGTTACAAATTAATGCTCTGGCGAATTTCATTTTATTTGTTATAAAGCTTTTTGTTTTAAGTTATTTTAAGGGTCCTGGATTCTTCAGAGAGAGGTTGCTTAAGTCTAACTTGCTGACTATGAACAAGACCAACATGCCTCATTCTTTTACACCACTGGCTACTTAAAAATATTTTTTTTATTTTACATACATAGAGTATCCCATGTACGCGACATCCATGAGATTGTTTATTGCAAGACATATATATTGTGATAATGTTATATATACCAATGCATCATCGCATTTAAAATTCTTCGATCCTTCCCAGCCATTTAGTTTAAGACACGTTGTGTGAAATATTATATCATTAATATTCGTTTGTGACTCTATACGCTTCAATTACAATCTTGCCTGGTTTCATGAACATGTTATATTATTATTCTAAATATAATTATTGTTTATAGATTTTAATCATAAAGGTAAGAGTACTTAAAGAATTAAAGTTTTCCGGGAATCAGAAGGCAGAACTTAGTTGAAGGTGGGCGCCAAAAAACTAGTCAACATTTCAGCATGTCATTTCATTCACAATGTGCCCCAACTATTTCAACTACGCAGGCTCACAAAATCAAAAATGAAATTCATGGCATCAACGAGGGATTGCGAAGGTTCAACTTGCGTCTTGTTTAAGTCAAGATCAACACTTGTAATGATTCGCCTAAAAGAAGATAAATACTCGATCATAAATTTAATGTTGCGTGCATGTTAATTAATGAGGATTTAAATTTGAACTAAGTTTTTCACCTGAATTCATGAAAATCTTTAGACTAACCCTATTTGATTCAAATCAAAATTCATTTTTTATTATAATGCATTTTCTAATTTTAAATTTCTTTATACCATGATGATTCAAAAATTCACTCACTTTAATACCTTATTCTATTAGTATTTCTATTATTGATAGCTCTATCAATATTGCCTCTTCTCTCATCTTTCATTTTCGATCTCTCGCGCTAATAGAAAAATATATGTAAGCTTGTCATTCTCAACTATTTATTTTTGCTTCAAACATCAATCCCTCTCTTCCTTTTTTTTAAAAAAAAAACACACCATCCAAATAAAAGTATTTTAAATACATGAATTTTGGGTGTAAAATTTTAAATATAAAATTTAAAGTTCAAATCTAAAAAAACTGACTGCCTGTAGTGTGTTTGTGTGTGTGTTTATGAACAAATTTCACTAAATCGTGGTAATTAGCACTTATCTCCTACTCACCGTTGCGCCATCAAATTAAATATATATGGTCTTGAGTAACCTTTGCCCCAGATACACAAGAACAAGGAGATGGAAAAGTAAAACAAGAATAGAAGGGCCTTCATATATGGTGAAAAATGTTAAAGCAAAATCCTGCTTGAATTTAGATTCAATGAGTGGCGTAAGTGCACCTACTCACTTAATGAGTGTTTTAATTATAGGTATTGAATTTAATTAATATTTGGAGATAATGAAATTACATTTCTCTCCAAAAATTTAAAACAATTATTACTATCAGAACATTTTTTACATACATTGTTTCATATAAAAATTTTAATTAGCTCTTCATGTATCATCATATGTCAAAATCTCTAACAGCCATTTAATTAAATTAAACGATTGTTATCGTGACACATAAGACATTTAGCCACTTATCAGATATAAATCTAGTCATGTAGGGGGTATTTTCATGAGTAATACTTCGCTAGCCATTTTTTCAATCCAGCTATCAAAACTAGAATGCATTTTTAAATCTTTTGAGGTACAATTAATGAGTTTTTTAAATACCCTTGATAAATAAATTAGTCAACCTTTTAACTTTAAGTGAGATGCTTTATTATTAAATACTCCCCATCTAATTTGTACCAGCACTAACTCCAACTACAAGCTCGAATTCATCTAATTCTGCTTAGAAATATAGCTTTTAACATCTGCGTGTATTGAATTTGAAATACATACAAACACAAAAGCAAGCACGCTGCAAATTGGCTTTCCACATGGCGAGAGTTCATAATAATTTCATCATTAGATCTAACAAAAGTTTAGGTCATTTCAAGCGTTGATTAATATCAAACCATGGATCTCATCAAGACATTTGAAAAGCCAATTAGCCAAATAGGCAACTCGTTAATCTCCAATTCCCCCAAAATGTGTGTTGTTGACATTTCATAATTATGTATATTAGAATTTACTGATCCAATTTTGATGGGAATTAGGTCATTTTGTCAGATCAATTAGGTGAGATTTGGCATATTCAAGAATTATGATAATTGACTGGAACTCGAGAATTAATGATGAATTCCTACATCTAATATAATTATTTCAACCAAATTATTTCCTCTGTCATGAGGTGAATCATGACGATGGGATTTTCCTCTTCATAATGGCTCCATATATTATAAATAGAAATGGATGATTAAAAGAATAAACCACCTCGAAGTGAGCACCTCTATCTTAATTAGTGTTTATTCTTCCTATCTTTAATGTATTTGTTGTATACCTTAGATAGGATTTTATCATGCTTGAATTCAAAAGACTCTAACCCACCCACTCCTTTTTTGATATGTTATTTACTTATATCATTCCTTTCAAGTATACATAGACATGCTCTAATATATTAGTTATAAATTAAATTGCAAATAAAGGCTCAATTGGCAATAACTTGACATATACTCCTTCCGTTTCTTTATATAAAAAAAATGTATTACACAATTTAAAAAAGTTAATTAACTATAATAATCATGTCTTAAAATAAAAAATTAAACTAAAATGTCTTATATTAGTTATTTTTCATTAATATAAATTATAAAAAATGATTTAAAAAATGTGTAATAAATACTTATTGGAATGAGTGATTTTTTTTATATTAGAAAATAAGTAAAAAGTGATATTTTCTCCAACAATAAAAAATAGAAGGAGTAACTCATAAGGCTATTGATTTAAATTTTATTATTAATATAAGGATTTTATTAATGGCAATTTGTAAATATTTTTATAAGCATTATTCTTTAACTCTGAATAGAAAGACATATTCTGTCCCTAATGACCCTCCAATACCTAAGTTATTTGTAAAAAAAAAAAATCTTAACTAACTCAGAATTGTATTGTGATAAAGAATGAGTTTAATTAGAGGAGAAAGAAATAGAGTATGGTTAATTGGGAAGGGGGGAGAGACAAGGTCATGGGTTAAATCGAACGGACAAACTTTCTTTAATGGTGTCGGGCATGTGTGTTGGGTACACGTTGTCAGTGACATACTGACAAAACATTACATGCTTTTCCATGCACTTGTCCCCTAACTCCTCCACGTGTACCCTCCGTT